CTGTTTGAAGTGATGGCTAACTAAAATGCAGAGATGGGTTTATCACTTATATGTCATATATAAGTTTTGAAGTGTACACGCATCTGTGGATCATAACTTTTTGGATGTTATCTGTAGGATAATGATAACATTTCAGTATTTGCAGCAAAATATTTCATTTGAGAAAGCTTTGTCAGTTTTTCAACTTTCTCAAGTCCTATTGCACCTGAAAGTAGTTGAGTTAAAATTAATTTTTTCATTATACTTTTGTATATATTAATGTTTATATCTCTGCTTGTCCACTACTGAAAACAGTTTGTTCTGAGAATCTAGATTCAACACTTTTGCATAGTTTGTGCAAACCTTGCCATTCTTCTGCTAGAAATACCATTCACCTAACAGTGTCAAAACAGGCAGGAAATCATTTCAAAATCTCTCCCTTTGATGATACCGTATTTTAAAAAAAATCAGTTACATTGTTATTGATACTTGTTTTAAAATAAAGGAACAGCAATTTGTTTCAGTGCATGAATGTAAATGTTCTAAATTAAGAAGCTCAGAAACTGTTCCTCATGGTAATATTGCTCCAAATGACACATCACACAAACATTTAGTTGAATTTTTCATCTAGTTACTGCACTCTGATTACAGTTTAATGGTCATTGCTGGCTTAGTTCTTGCCTATAGGTGACCCTCTGTTATAGAACTTTCCTTATATACCTAATGGGTTTTCTCCATAAGTGTGTATAAGACTTAGAATAACACAGTTAAGTGGTGGTGATGGTGTTTGAAGACACTAGCTTCCTTTAAACATTTGTTAGGACTGCACAGACAATACTGTTTTTTTCTGGATGATGCTGGTACAGCAAGTTAGTGGTTATGGAGTCAGTATTGTGTTCCACACTCATCAAGTATAATGCATATTTTTGCATTGTAATAATACATAATAATTAAGCAGCCCATATTATAATGATCCACCTTATTTCCTGAAACACAATTGAAATTCATTACCAAAATAGTATCGCCACACAAGAATAAGTATTCTCCTTTAATTGGATAAAAAAATTTTTTGTTGAAGGTTTTCCAGCAGTATTTTTAGATTTGGGAATGAAATTGTACATATAAAAAGTGGATGACACTAGGATGATAGATTTATGTGCAATTTGTAACAAGTGTTACGATAATACTGTCTTGTTATGTACACTACACAAACTCTTCTTAAATTGAGAGTGCTAAAATAATCCTGTTATATATGAGATACCATTTAAATGAACCCATTCTGTCATGATTTTACCTTATTTATTTCTTAAAGAGACCTGTAGGAAAAATATACTGCCACTGACTTCGGTAACAATGAATACAGTACGTTGCTCCAAAACTCTGATATGCACCTGTAAGATTACTCAGTGTCCCATCCCTGAAGATCACGATGATAAAACTGGCAGAAACTACTATTTGATATCGGTAGAGTAATTTTGTGAATCATCACATATTATTCCATTTCCTTGTACTTGTATATATGTGTGTCAATATATGTTATAGTGGATCTTTTGTCATAGTGTACCTGTGATCATCAAAGATACTGACATTTTGGTAACTCATATATTGGTAGGATTTGAGGTTTTTACAGCTGTGAGTCTGAAGATGGCTGTCTTCTGGGTTGTTGTTCTGTGTAGCCTGGTAAAAGTTTACCGACGTTACAAAGGTCCTTGCTGCCTCTTTAATCAGGGTGATGAGTCATTGACCTGATGATGGAGGCAGCAAGAACCTCTGAAACGTCAGTGAACTTCTACCAGGCTACACAGCATAACAACCGAGAAGACAGCCATCTTCAAACTCATGTATTGCATTAGATATTAAACAAACTGCCTGCGACTTCATGCAGTCATGAAATTCCTGTAACAAAGATTAGCCAGTCTGTGATGTTACAATTTGCAACATGTTCTATACTGTTCCTTGACCAAACTACCAAGTTATTAAATCAGAACTATAATTTCTGGAGATTTTCTGAATATTATTATCTCTGATATAGTATTTAGATACTGGCTGCTTGTATAGAAAATTATCCTCAATAGATGTGGAACACAAAACTCATCTCCTACTGTGTAGAACTGAGTGTTAATACTGTGGCTAAATTTCAGCTGACTGTGGAATGCTTCGGTCTGCAGCTTGTGGCTTACACATGTCAGTTTATTGTTGTCTTGGTGTAAATATATATTTAAGTGGAATAGCTATGATAAAATGTAAAATATTTTTGGTCATTCTTTAAGTTAAACATAAATAATCCATAATTTATTATTATAATCCAAAGTACTGATTCTTTTATTTCAGACTTAAATTGTTAATCAACAAACAAATTTATATTATATTCACTGTGGATATTGATTTGGTTTCTCACCTTAGAAATCAGTTTTCCAACAATAGTGTTGTCATATTTTTAAAAACTATTTTTACCATATAAAAGTATCAGAAGCACACATTAAAGAGCATAGGTAACACTGTCATAAGTTATAATAGTTTCCATTTTACATGTGATTATGAACTGTACAACTTAACATATTGGGCTTGCAGAATAATTTTAAGATGGATACTACTTAACAAAATATGCACAATATTATGATTTGTGATACTGTTTAAAAATGCAATATATTTTTAAACATACAATATGAATTATATAATTTTTACCATATAAATACTTTGGTATACATATCATACCAGATAATTAGTATCAGTTGCTATCCTTGTTGTATGTGGTCTTCTCAGTTGTGACATTATGAAGTCTCATAGCCGGTTACCAACGTTTAGAAGGATTATGTTGCCTCCATCTTTGGGTTTGAAGGTGAACATTAAATGTGGAGACATTACATTCTTCTGAAAAATTTGTTAGCACCTACAAGACTGTATGGCATCATAATCCAAAAGCCCACAGTCATTATCTTCACCACCATGACAACATAAAATCCCAGACAAGTATTACTCTTGAAATTATATAGCATATGGTAGCAGTAAGAAGATGCATGACTACAAATTTCTTCAGGCTCTGACAGAGTCTTAGAAAATAATTTTGTATGTTTAATTATATTCTTTTAAGTTACGATCTCATTTTTTGCAAACAGATATGAGAAACATGTATTCACTAGTAATCTTCCAGTTTCACAACATAAATTCATTGCCTTATTTGCACAGAAAAGAATTTTCACTTTTCTTTTCTCAATAATTCAGTTTTAACTGCAGTTTAGCATACAGACAAATTACTTTGTCTAATCTGACCAGAAAAGGAACAGCAGTATTGTCAACATTGTTGTAACCTTATAGGAAACCAAGAAACGAATCCCAGTACATTAATATTAATAGATGGGAGAGTGATTTAATCTTCTACTGCTGCATAAAATAATATTTTCTACATATGATTTGTTATGTCAGTTGTTAAATTTTAAAAGTGTTAACTCATAGCCTATTTTATTTGGAACATGTGGTCCAAGAAATGGCACATCTTCTCTAAAGAATTATCCCTTTTCCTCTCTACATGATTATTTTTGTTGCAGTATTTATGTACTTATAAGTAATTCTGTCATCTATTAATCATATTAATTACTCAACTAGTATGACAGTTTATTTTTAATTATGTATTGTTCACCAACTGCAGCTGATGCTAATTTTCCCTGGTAAAAATGTTAAATGGAAAATGGGAAATTGGATTCCTTATTACTATGGAAGCAGGTGGGTGCAAGTGATGAGAAGCACTAATGGAAATAAGTTGTAGCTTTTTGGACATCATACTTAAGGTGTTGTTTTATAACAAAACCAAGATGATGGATAATGTCCATAAAATGACAACTTCCTGTAATACATACCTGTTGCGAATATACAGGAATAATAAATGGAAATGTAAACTTGAACTTTATAATTCAATGATTCAAAATAATTAATAATATAATACAAATAGTATAGATTTGTAATAGTCTTTATACTTTTCAACATTTTTAATAGAAAAGACTAAATATTTCCAAATTAAAAGCATTCCTTCTTGAGTATATCTTGTAAAGTTAAGTGACTTAAGTTTGCATCTTCAATTTGTAGTATGCCTCTGAAATTAAATGCTTAAGTTGCAGTTGTACTTCCATTTAAAACCGTGTATAAGTTATCAAGATTTTTCATATACATTAATGTGTCCATTGACTTGCTTTAAATATTATAATTTGAACAAATGTCTTTTAAAAACCTTAAACTCACTCCTTGTATTAATTTGTGAATCATCCTTTCAGTATGTCAGGGGCACATTGGAATTGAAAACTAGCTGTATGTATTGAAACATACATGTTATCAATTTAAAAACCATAGGTCAGTAAAATATAAATCAGAATATATTTTAATTTTGTTAATCACTTGAAATAGTTTACAAAACAGTCCCCATTAGTCTTTCTGAACATGTACCTTGTAATCTGAAGTGTAGCAGAAAGTCTCTGAATCTCACTGCCCTTGTTCCAAAATAAATTATTGTCTTTTGCCAGAATTTTTGTTTTTATTTTGCATATATTATTGTAAATGACAATATGTAGTTGTGATATGATGTATGGCCATAATAATCACAAATTATGCATTTTGAATCAGTCCATTACATAATATGAATAAGATTATCACGTAACTGTATATCAAAATGCCATATTACATGCCTGTAGGCACTATAGCACCCAGTGATACATTTCTTTTTCAGTAACACTTTATTAATTAATCTCCACATTAATAATTGAATAAACATGTAAATCAAAAGAAAGAGGACATTCTCCAGTTTCATGTATATTTAGGTTGGTACTAACATAAACTGTAATAAATACAGAGCATAGAATTTTAGATTATGAGACACACATTAATGTTTAATATTATTTGCAGATCTGCAGTACATATTACTATCATTTGTGTTTTTCATCACCTGCACCAAAAATTACCTTTGAATCAATTCAATTTCTTGATTACATTGAATCATACTCATCATTCTATACTGACTATATGAATGAAATCAGATTTTTCAGTTAGCCTTGTGTGGTGCAAGACAAGAGACCAATCATAATACGTCACGATGTCAGCATCTCATCCAGCACCAGAATACATCCAGGGCTACCAAGCTTCCTTCCGATGACATCACTGACAGTGAGTCCTACAGGATGTCTGGCGTCACTCTTCCCCTGATTCACAACTGTAGAAATGGCAGTAGCAGTGACAGAGCATGCAGTCTTGACCCTCCCAAAAGCTGACAATGGGAGACATTTGCCCACCACTACTCTACAGCTCTACAGCTCTACAGCTCTACAGCTGCTACAATAGTCACCATAACTTTCTTCTACATACACACTGCTAGCAAACATCTAAAAAAGGATCCTTAATGATGACTGGGAATATCTTCCCGTTGCCAAGAAAGGGCAGTACATCATTATCCATATACTTCCTGAAAAGTATTAGCATTGTGGTGCAGATTATGTTAGACCCCCAGCCCACAGAACAAATTAGTCATCTAGATAACTAAATCATAGCATAGTGAATAGATTTTAAAGAAAGCTTCATATTCTTATCATATTATTATATACAATTATTAATATAACTTAAGTATTTATTATAATAATATTTCAAGATAACTACCTGCAATGAGGTGAGTGACTTAACCCATTTTGCTTAGTACTTTAAGATGATGAGCATAGATGAATTATGAAGGCTGCATTGGCTGTTGGTCTCTGAATCGCAAAGACAGTTCTAGATCGTAAGAATGGTAAATAAGCCAAGACCAGGTGTAAGCTAATGACAGCAGCAGAGTAGGGATTCAGTACACATATTCTGTATGTGTCTACATGTACGTGCATGGCAAGAAAGTGTAGCATTTACCAAAATTCCAAATGGGCTGTGATTTATCTACTAAATGAGAATAAAAGAGAGTAAATATGATGTGTAAAACTGTACAGGCTGTTTCTGTCTTCTTGTTTGTTCATAAAGTAAACAGGTGGTTTGTTGTCAGTTAAAAGAAATTAATAAGTAATGTAACTAACTTGGTGTTATTTTTGATGTACTGTCAGTAGTCTTGGAATTGTAACAGTGCATAAACAAATTAAGAAACAGAAAGAAATGTTGATAATATGACAATTATATATGTAGGATTTATTTTTAATGCTGAAAGATGTGATGTTGATTACATTGTTGACACTCTGTCTCATCTGTTTCACTCAATTGCTACACAAGTTGCCTGCATTGCATGTTATATGACACCTTTGAATGTCACAGTATGTAGAAACACTTGTTTGTTTCATTAGTGGCAAGACTTTGGCTTTTGAGGAGGCCAACAGCCAACTGGTAAACCACTCTTGATATCGTTGCCAAGTT